TATTTACAATCATAAATATGTCTACTTTTACAGGGTTAATGCGGAACTCATAAATCAAAGAGCGAAACTGTACAGACCGAAAAAGCTGACATCAAGTTACTTACTGCACAGGTCAAATAAATAAGTAGTAGATACATTTAAAGCTGGCAATTGATGCAAATTGGTCCAAAATTTATCATTAATAAATAAACTATTTTTTAAATATCAATATAGAATATCGTAGACTATAGTAAAATATACTAAATTTGATAAATTAAATTCACAATTTTTTTTACTCGGTGTGTGTGTGTTGAATTTTTGAAGATTTGAATTTTTTTAAGAATAAAAACCAATGGCAAATATGGTATATTGCTTTAAAGATATTTAATGGATCAAGTTTAGGTGAAAGTGGCTTTATACGGCCATAGAAAAGCAATAAAAGTAAAAAAGAAGCAAAGATATTTTTAAAGGGTACAACTCGATCTTCCTGTTTTTTGTTTAAGGAGAGAATTAAAAAACGAAAAAAAGAAGAGCAAACCGGGATAACTGATAAGCTATAAAATGTTTACCATGCTTTTGAAAAGCATTGCTTTGACTAGCATCCTTTTATTGGAACAAAACTAGACAGTAAATATTTTCTCACCGTTGTCTATTTTCATACGTCAATTTAAACCGTAATTGCACCACGATAAACAATAATTAAAATCCAAAATATTCATGAAAGTGATTGGACATTTAGAGGAAAATAATATGGTAAAATGGTAATGAAGTTGACAAACAAGTAGGGTGGCTGCTGCCTTTACCGGTCTGGTCACTGCCCCATCCATTCGCAATTACGCTGTTTTAAAATCGCCCTTGACGTTTTATTCACAACGACATCAAGTTTATGGCCTTAAAACAACTTTAAGAAACGATTTTATTATATTAAAAACAAACAAAGTGTAATATTTCACATATAAAAACTGGAAAAAACGTACGACAAAGAAATGTTCTCGGCATTTCGTATTGTGATGAAAGAAGTCATTGAACTTAAAAGAAGCTTTATAAATTATACTGTAATTAACATTAATAATGGATTTTTATGACAGCTTTATATGTGGACGGATTTGCTATTTTATTTGCTTTATAATTAAACGATAATTCAAGTTGAAAAACGTTTGATACCAAAAATAAGTCAATATGGTCCCACGGCTTTTATTCCTAATGTATTACCCAGGTTTTATACAAACAGTGAATTCAGACATACCGCAATGTAATTCTGATATATATAGTTATCGATTGATTATCAATGAATTTTGTTCGTAGTTAAATATTTTACAAAAATAAATAGGAAATTCAGATTTGATTAGATGAGTTGATGATTTGGTTTGATGACTTAAGAAATCAGCGTGGGTAGATTAAATTGTATTTTATTTGTATTAAATTGTACTTATTTCATTGGGCGTGGCTAAGTAGATAAGTTTATTTCATTGGGCGTGGCTAAGTAGATAAGTTTATATCATTGGGCGTGGCTAAGTAGATATGTTTATTTCATTGGGCGAGGCTAAGTAGATAAGTTTATTTCATTGGGCGTGGTTGACTAAGTTATTTTATTTCATTGGCCGTAGCTAAATAGATAAGTTTATTTCATTGAGCGTGGTTGGTTATTGTGTTTCGTTGGCGTGGCTGAGTACGTTATTGTTTCATTGGAAGTGACCCTGTAGGTAATTTTATTTCGTTGGGCGTGGCCAAGTAGGTTATTTATTTCATTGGGCACGTTTAAGAAGATTATTTTATTCCATTAGACGTAGCTAAGTAAAATATTTTCCCCTGGTTACAAATTAGACAACTTTCACTGTATATTTATTTAATATCATGAAAAAATGAATGGTTTGGTCCTTATAGTTTTGTTTTTCGATTTGGAGGCTTTGTATTAATCTTGTAAAGAGTTGAAGCAAGCTTTCATTGTATTTACTACTTCTTTTCTTTAGACCTGTGAAATCGTTAGCTTGATGTCTCTTCAATCGATACGTCCAGTTTTCCTTTATGAATTGGAAGTTCCATATTAGATCTACAATGAGACCATCTTGCTAAAAAAATAATTTTTACTTCGGTTGTATTTCTTTCGAAATGAAACTTAATGACATTTTTAATAACCTATATTTATGAATATTTACAGATAGGGCGAAACTATTTAGGTATTTTATTTCGTTGGGTGTTATAAGTTATACCTTTTTACTAGTTGAGCATGATTAGTAATTTGTCTTTACAAGTTAATAACTTGATGTTCTCCTTCGGTTTGACTAGTTTCACTTTTTGAGTTGGAGGTTATAAACTAGATCAACTTTTCAATAACTTGAAGCAACAATGCTTACATAAACAAATTCTCCTAAGGATACTTGGTACTACGTTTCTTAAAATTTATTTTTGCTATGTTGTGTTTCTTTCGGGAGGAACCTTTATGACCTTTCCAATTAACCTATTATCTTGATTGGGCGTGATTATATGGACTATTTTTACTAGGTGGGCATGGCTAAGAAGGTTATCTCCACTAATGAGACTGTGTCTGATAGTTTGTCTTTACTTTTGGTCGTACATTATTTCTACAAGTATGACTGAATCAATAGTAAGCTTTCACTGTATCTTTTACTTGTTTTATTTACGTAAGACCGGTCAAATAATTATTTTGATCTCTCTTCATTCAGTCCGTCTAGTTCGCTTTTTGGTTTAGAGATTTCACATTCACCCTACAATGACTTTTAAGCCTCAAAGCGTTGCAGCTTGCATGGACACATTTTAATGATAATAAATAGACAACGAATTTATCAGTGGGCGTGATTATATAGGTTTTCTTTACTACATGGGCGTGACTTAATAAGCGATATCTGCTAGATGGGCGTGGCTAAGTAGGTTATCTTTGCTAATTCGGCATGTCTAGGTCGCTTGTTGAGCGTGACTAAGGTTGTAACGATGAACTAGATTATCCACCTGCTGGATACAAGAAGTCTTTTCAGAGGATTTTCGGAAGAGGTCAAAACAGAGAAAACTTCCTTACGGTTTTCGCCGAGCTTTCGACAGTTTTATACTGTCATCTTCAGGGCCTGTTTTATTATCATATAAACAAACAATTAAAACATGAAAAAACAATAATTACAACAATAATTGGATATCTTACTTTAAAACCTTAATAGGAAATTAAACAACATGGTGTTTTGGGCACAGAAGTACATTATGTTTTTTTCGGCTCAGCATTTAAATATTGATTTAAATGGAATACATTAACAATTAAAAATTATAGCTAAAATTACAGTAAAAATAAAGTTAAAAAACGTGGTCGAGAAAGATTACCTCATATAAGTCTAAAAAACCAATAAAATCCACCTTATTTTGTTTTTCAGGTACAAATGATCACAGTACGTTTCTCAAATATATATACATATACAATTAACTTATAAATAAATAATATATAATATAATATAACTTATAATATAAATAAATTTATTACCTAATTTTACACCTCAGAAATTTAAATTAACTTAATTCTCTAAAATAAGTTTCAAAGCTTTGCCCTTCTTCAGCAACAGATATTCACACTCGCGAACCAATACCTGGCCGGTTGCTGCATGGACTGTTGCTGGCAGAAGTTCTCGGCAGTCTTTTTTCTTGCTTCAAGGTCCGCGATAGTTAGAATATTTGGATTCAAATTGGCTTAAAAGGAATTATTTAAAAAGCCCCCCCCAAAAAAAAAAAAAAAAAAAAAAATCATTTGCTTCAATTCAGATGACCTGGAAAGCTAATGACATTCTGTGGGAAGAAGGGTAACACTAACTATCCTCTTTTTAGACAATTTTTATGACTATCTCAATCTAATTAAAGTCATTCCATTTTAAATATTCTCATAACGCTTTCTTTGTTTAGTCAATACCACAAAAAAAAAAAAAATGTATTTTTGCCTTTCTACGAAAAATTTCCCAATTATAAACTTGGCACGAATGGATGTTAGTTCGTTTTTGCTTAGTTTAGTCAAGAGAATAATTTCACTTTTTTAGTATATTTTAATTTTTAAGCATCTTTGCATTTAAGCATTTTTGAAACATCCGGATAGATACCTCGGTGATCTATCTACTAATCTAGTCACTGTGCCCAAGATCGCCAAAATATTCACCAACAAATTGCCATAAATGGTCTGAGGCTTGCGCTAACATTTTGGTTATTGACCACGGTCTTTTTTTAATATATATTGTATTATATTGATTCATTTAAATATTTACTTATTTTTTCATAATATCACAATGAATCCTCCTGTTTAGATAAATTTAGAATTGCAGCCATCCTATATCAATTTAAGTATTTATTCACTAATAGTTATAAATTATATTTTTTATTAATTTTATAAATGATACGTTTTAGAATATAAATAATTTTTATTTGGAGATAGTGAGATGCGTCTGGTGTGACGTAGATTTAGAAAAACATTTTGTTTATCGCGCCAACGTTTCGATCTTCGAGATCATCTTCAGAGCCTGTTTTTCTAAACCAACGTCACACCAGACCGCTTCTCACGATCTCCGAATAATCATTAACTAACGGTCACTAAACACCACACATAAATAATTTAAACAAAAAGTAATTTACAATTGTTTTGAAGAAAGTGAGTTTCAACTGCGTAATTCGAGCAACCAGGGTTTACAATTTTAATAGTGTATTATTTATAGGATTTTATTATAGTTTAGGAAGAGGAAATGATAAAATTCGATAATTTATTAAATTCACAAACTTCGTTAAAACGGTGATAAAAATGAGCCTTGATATTACAACCCCGTCAATCTGGATCGTTTTCCGCCCCTCGGGGTCGGCGAATAAACGGGCCAAAAATTCTCCCCAATTTCCCTGGCAAACGCCCTTTGCTCAATTGTCCACGGAAAGAAATGGCAAAAAAAAAAAAAATCCCGAGATTTGGTTTTTACCCGGACCCGTTAGAGGGAGCGCGTAGGTGGGGCTCGTATATAAAACCAATGGACCGGATTCCCCCTATTACACCAACATGAAGCCGGCCGCAATCCAGGTAGGATTTACAAATCGCCAATTTTCGTAATTGTATCCCATTATGAGACAAGCATAAACTCGGTGTCGTGATATTATCACCAATATAAAATCAGCGATGACACATAATATTTGCTCAGGACAACTGTACATACACGATATCCTTACCCCTAGGGGTGCGAAATTTGACAATCTTTTCCTTAAATTTTCTTTTCTATATTAAGACACTACAAAAATATTAGTTCTTATTTTTTATCTATTAACATTGTCCATTTAAATTGTCAATAATATTTTAATTTATTTAAAATTTGTCACCATCTTTATTGCAAGAATTTTCAAACCTAACAACTGGTATAAATATTTAAAAAAATTCCTTCATAACTTATAAATACTTTAATTTTTGGCCCAATTTGAAGATTTACAACGATGGGGAGGGACATAATCAGGCTAAACATTCATGAAACAAAAACCAAATAAATATATTTTTCAAATTACTAACTTTTTCCACATCGATCACAATTAAATTGATCCATTTTCTAATTAAACAATTTGTTTTTAAATAATTCAACAGTTTAGCGAATTTATATCAAAATGTGCAGAAATCTAATAAATCTTTTCAAAAAATCTTCAAATAACACTTTCCTCAGTTTAGACAATTTTTAAGTCAATCAGAATCACTAGCTCTATCTGAGAAATTCTTTTCAGCACAATCTCCAAAATAACATTTTCCTAGGTTTGTTAAATTTTTAATTCAATCTGAATTATCAGATATATCCAAGGAAATCTTTCCTACAAAAATCTTCAAAAAATCAAACACTTTCCTTAGTTTAGTCAATTTTTAAATCAATCAGAATCACTAGTTGTATCTGAGAAAGTCTTTTCTGTGCAATCTTCAAAATAACATTTTTCTAGGTTTAATCAATTTTTAGACAGTGAGAATCACTAGCTAGCTGTATCTGAGGAAGTCTTTTCTGCACAATGTTTAAAATAAGATTTTCTTAGGTATGTTAAATTTTTAATTCAATCTGAATTATCAGATATATCCAAGGAAATCTTTTTTAAAAAAATCTTCAAAAAATCAAACACTTTCCTCAGTTTAGTCAATTTTTAAGTCAATCAGAATCACTAGCTCTATCTGAGAAAGAGTTTTCTGGTCAATCTTCAAAATAACATTTTCCTAGGTTTAATAAATTTTTAAGTTAATTCGAATTATCAGATATATCCTAGGAAATCTTTTCTACAAAAATCTTCAAAAAAAACAAACACTTTCCTCAGTTTAATCGATTTTGAAGTTCATCAAAATCACTAGTTAGATCCTAAGACGTCTTTTCTAAATAATCTTCAAAGTAATAATTTCCTCAGTTTAATCAATATTGAGATCAATAAGAATCACTTGCTGTATATGAGGAAGTCTTTTTTGCACTATTTTCGAATAACACTTTCCTCAGTTTTGTCAGTTTTTAAGTCAATATTCTTTCAGGAATTCTTTTTAAAGATTCTTCTAAAATTTAAATTTTTTAAAAATTCTTCTAAAGAATCTTTAGAAGAATTCCTCAGTTTTATCAATTAAAATCATATAAGGAAGAAAATTTTTTTTTCGAAATCAAATAAATTATTAATCTGGAAACGCTATTAGACGAAATTTTATGTACATGGTCGGGTACACTAGAGGATCTGAAAAAATTCTTCTAATTAATTAATTTTTTAATACTATGGTATAAATTTTACGCTGGAAATAAATAAAGATGGTTTTTTAAACTTTTTTGACTGTCCATAAATTAATTAATATAAGATATAATATAGAAAACCCACAACTACAGACACCATGATACCAGCAGATTCTTATCACCCAAGGACCCAAAAGCTGCTGAATTCATTTGGCTCATAGATCGTATGTTAAAACTCCATTAACACCTGCTAGTTATAAAAAAGAATTAAAAACAATTAAAACCTTGGCTAAAAGCAATGGATATCAAGAAATATATTATTATAGGTTGCTAGTAAAAATAATAAAAAAATTAACTTTATAAAAAGCAAAAGACTTAGCCACCCTACCAAAAAAGAATCATTGGGTTTTCGTTTTTTGCCATACATTGGTGAATTATCAGAAAAAGTTAGTAAAATGCTTAACCAAAAATGTTTTAGAGTAGTTTTTAGAGGTGCTTGTTCACTTAGAAACATTCTTTCAAAATTGATAACTTGACAAAAAGCAGGGTCTGCAAACTTAATTCTAATGATAGCGATATTAAATATATAGGACAAACAAGAGTTGAAGATCACTTGCATTAAATTGAACGAGTTTTTGAAATTTAAGGACCATCTAAAAGAAAAAACAACAACACAATTTCAATTAAAATATAAATACAAAAATGTTTCACAGTTTGAACAAAGAGAGGACACTAAATTCGTATGAACATTTGAGAAATTTGAAATAAATTTTGTAAAATTAAACTTGGAGATAAATGGATAAATAAGGTAATAAATTTTGATTTTTCTCCTATTTTTACACATGTCCTCAATAATATTTGACGTATAAATTAATCACCAATTTAAAGTTATTTTCTTACACTATTTATTAGGATAATTATTCAGAAATCGTGAGATTCGGTCTGGTGTGTTGTAGGTTTCAGAAAAACATTTTCTTTTTCGTGCCAACGTTTCCATCTTTATTGAGACCATCTTCAGGGCCTCGGATTTACAAACATTTTTATATTCAATCAAAGTATTTGTTTGTTAAGTGTAAACAATGTTTGTAAATCCGAGGCCCTGAAGATGATCTCAATAAAGATCGAAACGTTGGCACGATAAAGAACATGTTTTTCTGAAACCTACATCACACCAGACCGCATCTCACGATTTCTGAATAATTATCAATTAACGGTCACTAATCACCACACATATTAGGATAATATTTAGTTGTATATGTAATTCATATTTTTGCATGTTCACCCTAATAATTCGTCGAGATATGTTTGTCACTCCTTCAAACTGATGATGAGCGTTTAATGCTCGAAATCCGGTCGTTGTAAACAACAAATCAGTGATCACCATTCACAAAAAGTAGAAAAGTACGTTTTCAATTTTATTCCCGTATCTAAGATTTTTTCTTAGAAATTTTATTATGCAAGAAAAAGAGACAATTATTTTGCAAACAAAGACTGAAAAAGTCTAGTTTCATTAGTGTGCTTACTAGATTTAAAATCCAGTTTTGCTCCCTAACTCAAAACACTTCCTGGAAATAGCCCCCTTAATCCTCGGGTTGGAAGAAGAGTCAATTAAAGTCATTATCTCAACGTAAGGGTGCCAATTATTATCACAAAACAAACCCGCAAATTACGCATTCTCGTCAGTATTAATAATCTACATAAAATTAACGTAATATTTTTTAGTTTTATAAACGTTCATTTTAGTCAAATTATATGCAAGAAATTTAGTTTTAGTATCCTTATCTATTACTTGCTCTTTTCTGGGAAAAAACTTCGCAAGAAAATATGAAATATTCAGATTAGTTAAGACAATCAGAAAGCACAATTTTCATAAGAAGCTTTTTGAGTTTAGCCAATTATAACGTATTATAAATATGCTTAATAATAAATTTTAAGAAATAATAAAATGATATATTAAAATTATAAGTCAATCACAATCACTAAATCTACGTATGAAGAAGATCAAGTATATATCATAAAAGTACTATTATTTTAACGACTTTATGGTATATAAAAATTACCTAAACATCTCATCTAGAGAAAAAAAAAGAAAAAAGAAAAAAAAGAAGAAATTTCAGAAAATATTTTCCTCAGTTTGGTCAGTTTTCAGTCAACCTGAATCACGGTTTATCCTAGGAGGTCTTTCCTTTTTGATTCTTGGGAGAATATTTTTCACAGGTTGTCAATTAAAATCAGTAGGGCTATTCAGGAAAGAAGAAAAGTCTTTTCTACAGGATCTTCACCTTCCATTTTCCTCAGTTGGTCAATATGAAGTCAATTAAAATTTCTAGCTATATCCAAGGAAATGTTTTGCAAAGAATTGTTACTCCTAATTTTAGGTAATTTTAAATACCTCCTTTTGGTAAAGTTTAAATACCTTGAATAAGTAACTCTTTTCTAAAAGGTGGCTCTACTACAGATTTTAAACCACTTTGTACAAAAGTGAATCTACATACTCACCCCAACTTCACCATATCTGTCAGTAGCTCTTTCCAGAGAAGTCTTGTGTACAGAACCTCGAAGTAACAGTTCTTCAGTTTAGTCAATTATTATCAATAGATATGGAAGGAGGTGTATTTTCAACTGAATTTTACTTTCTCCCTTCATAACCTTCAAGCAACACTGACCTGAGCTTAGTCAATTTGAAGTCAGAGTCATTAGCTATATACAAGGAAGTTATCATCTAGAAACTTCAAATAAGTCTTCAGTTTGTCAATTACCCCATTAAAATCACTAACTCTATCCAAGGAATAGAATTGTTATGAGATGGGGTGAGTGTCAATTCACTTTTGGGAAAAAATTGTTCTACACACAAAACTACTTCTTCTATTTACTAATTTCTGTTAGTAGTACATGCTTTTCCAAAAAGTGGCTATCCAAGGAATTCTTTTCCACACGAACGAATAATCAAAACACTTTCCTCAGTTTAGTCATTAAGTCAATCAAAATCAATAGCTCTTCCGAAGAGTAATGTCTACATAGTCTTCAAGTAACCGAGTGTTCTGTTTAGTCAATTAATATCAATAGTGTTAGGAAGCAAGAGTAATTTTAACTGAATTTTACTTGTTTTCCTTCAGAATCTTGAAATAACACTTTTCTCAGTTTAGTCAATAAGTCAATCAAAATCAGTAGCTCTTCCGAAGAAAGTTATGTCTACAAATCTTTAAATAACCGACTCTTCAGTTTAGTCAATTAATATCAATAGTGTTGAGGAAAGAGAGTAATTTCAACTGAATTTTACTTGTTTTCCTTCAGAATCTTCAAATTATACTTTCAGTTTAGTCAATTAAAGTCAATTAGAATAACTAGTTCTTTT